ATCAATACACATTTCATCATACACCACTCATCAGACACCACTCATCAATACACCACTCATCATACACCACTCATCAATATCTCGGACGCTCAAGTGCACGCGCACAGCAAAGCAGTGCGGGCGTGCACAGTCCATGGTCTCTCAACCTCACGTCCACGTTGACCGTTGTGGCAACGGACGGGCACAATCAGCCGCTCTCCTGATCGGCCAAGTTCGTGTGATGATTCGTACACCACTTCGAGCCAATCTGACCAAAGCGACTGGCAAATACAAAAAGACTCCAGCACAGGGTGTATGGACCCCCAGTTCCAGTTTATGCAACGAAAACGAAAGAATCTCCGAAATATCAAACACGTCAGAAATCAAACCCGTAGCAACACGAAGACGACGAAGTAAACAGGAAATGGTGGGTCGCACAGGCATCTCCGCAAGAGGAACTAAATCTATACATTGCGTGGAAGGGTTATCCAAGGGAAAAGGTAACCCAACACGCTGGAGGAGGAACAGAAGTTCCAAAAAGCTACAACCATATTGCCCATCGGCCTGTGACTCCCAATGAAGAAACAGTTGAAGGAGGGAGCAAAGGAAAGTAGCTGGCAAAGTAGTACTAAACTGTGCAAAGAGTGAGCTATCAAAAACAGGCGGGATTAAACTGGACAAAGAAATCCTACCTGTCACCCACTCAAATTCATCCCTCTCAGTGCTTTCAGCCAGCTGCTCCAACTCCGTAGAAGTTGCAGAAGGCGCAGCTGCCACATGAAAGTAGAACGAGCGAATCGACGTCAAAGTGTTAAGTGAACGAACATGGTAGTCTTGCGCCCTGGACACAGCATCCCAAAACTCCATCGACCGGCGAGCATTGATGGAACCTGCCATAGCATCAACCTTAGCATTCCAGGATGCAATCCAGTCCTGCCAAGGGTCTTCACAAGCAGCAGGATCCACATGTGACGGGATCCAAGTGACCTGGGGCAAAGTCTCATAATGGTCCAAGGCACTACGAATGCGATTCCACAGATCTCTGTGAGACCAAGAAAGGGGAATCTTGCTCATAAGCCACTTGAGGTTGTCCACAACAAAAAGCGAATCCACCCACAGGTGCAGCTTTAAACGTTGCAAAGCGCCCCATTCCAAGGCAGCGTACACTGCCATGACTTCAGCCCGAGCCGAGGACTGATCAATGCCAGCCAAGTGGGCTCCAGCTATTTGTTGACCACTAGAAGCCGACAACACCGCCCAAGAGGCATAAGAAATCCCACAATCTAAAGTCATGGAGCTACCATCAGTGAAAACATGCTCATGTGGTTGCACCGCCGTACCCAAAAACTCCAAATCCCGTGGACGAGAATGAAAGTATTCACGAAGCCATTTTCGAGCAGGGTTGCGGTTAGGCAACAAATGCCAAGAGACATGTTGAGGAGCCCCTTCTAGAATCTCCGTGGTAACCTGAGCTTTCTGCCTCAGTTCATGGAAACGTGGGCATCTCCACCAATGTGCTTGATCATCTTTTTGGTCACACAGTGGACACCAGGCCTTCTTGGCCAAATCAAATTTGGCATGATGCGCTGCATCAATGAAAGTGCCAGACTGGAGTGAACATTGCAGAGTATGATGAAGGCCCGACAGACCCTTTTGCAGGGCACCCAACAAAGCAAGGTCCAGACCGTGAAGGCCCATCATTGTAGCACGGTGTGAGGAAGCAAAAGCCACATGCTGAAGCCAAGCCTCATACAGGCAAGCTACCAAAGACGAATCATCCCAATCAAGGAGGGAATGACACAAATCATCATGATCCCACAGATAAGGAAGATAAAGTCGCCAGCCAATCAACTGAAGTTGCTCAAGCAGTTTTGAATAAGGGCCTTGCCCCAACACTCCTGTGTAGCACGCCATAAAAGAGGACCAATCCGCACAAAATCGTTCCATTTTGAGACAAACTCGTCGAAAGGTCAACACAGTGGTTTTGAGTTGAAAGAAGCCAGGATCCGCATCCCATGTGCCGCTCAAGGTCAATCTCAGCATCGGATTACAGCCTGTCTTGGCAAGGCGTAAGGCCTTCATGGCTTGAGTCCGTAACTCAGCAATCCATCTGGAGCTAAAGCGCGAGGAAGGGGCCCCATGAAGAGCCTGTGCCCAAAAACAAGGACCCAAGCATTTCACCTTCTGACACAACGGTGCCGCCGAGTATTGCAAACGTTGCCACTTTTGTTGAAGCGAGTCAAGGCGGGCCAACTGGTGGCAGTTCCGAGCTCGGGAAGTAAAAGACATTGACCCCCCCAGCTCCGCTGCAGTATCCCGACATGGATAGGGCATCAAACGCAGCTGTTGTCTCAGATTCTGCTTGGTCGCCCACACAAAGGTTTTCTTGGAGTCGAGGCCCAGGTTCCACAACTGGTAATAAGCCGAAGTCACGACAAAACCAGAAATCAGGGCGGCCACTGAAGAACTTCTCACCCCAATGTTGTCCACATAGGTACTGGCCACCGCCTGGGGACAAAATTTTTTCATGTAGACGTGATAGCTGAAATCCAGCTGGACCATGGCGAACACAGAGAGGGCGTCGCCCTCCGGCATGCCAACGATCGACTCACACGCTGGACTCAAAGCTCCATGGAAATCAAATGAACGCCTGCATGAAGACAAAAAAGAGCTCCAGGGCTGCAATACCGAAGAAGGCACTTGCAAATGCGCTGCCAGTTTCCAAGTTTGTGGTCGTGGGATGTGTTCAAAAGCCTTGCAAAGGTCAGAGCTGAAACCACAAAGGTCAGTGTCCAACAACAAACAAAGCTCCACATGTCCTTGTAGGCCCAGCCAATACTGGGCCGACTCCCGATGTGGTAGAAAGCCATAAGCTTCAGCACAAACATAGGGTTCCAACTGCTGGATGAGCGCTCTAGCCTCGATCCCTGCCCAGGTGCGATAGATAACGCTAAAAATCACCACTGGCCGATAGTCCCCAGGGAGGTGAGCGGCCGCAGATTTCGCAAGGCTGAACACCGTTCCAAAAAGTATGGCCTGGGGCCAACGAAGCTGTCCCGTTTCAATGCCCCGCAGCAATGTCAAGAGCTGTTCTGTCCAACCAGAGGGCATCTGTAGCAGCTCTGCTGGCGCGAAGCCATCCACCCCCCGGGCACTACGTGAGGTGTAACGCTTCAAGGCAGATCGCCATTGGCGGAGCGAAAGGTCAGGGATGACAAAGCCGATCTGAGGAATAAAGGCCTTGAAGAAGCCCACAACTCTATCCCACTGTTCAGGTGGCAGGTCAGAAGGGGCAAGCCACCGCTGTTCCCAAAATCGCAAGAGTTCCCCATGGACTTCGGCTGTGGAAGTGAAGAACTGTCGTTGAAGAAGGGTAGAGTCCATCGTGACAAAGGGCCAAGGTTCCAATGTACATAGGTCTCCCTCCTCCAACAAAAGCGAAACCGGTTCACCATCCAGAAACCATTGAGATGTGCCCTCAAGTGAAGGAGTAGCGTCCAAATGTACTTGATGAGAAGCACCATCAAAGTCAACAATGGCAAAGAGATGCTCTTGCCACAACCCGTCCAGATGCTCCGGGGCAGGCCTCTTGAGATCTTGATATAAAGCCTTCAAAGATCGGTCATGCTTTTGTCGAAGCAAGGACTTGCGCTGTGCCAAGTGCCAAGACTCAAACTTGTCGTAGCAACAACGAAACGCAGCAAAGATTGCTTCAGCCACCTGGCAATCCGGTGGTTGAGAAGGAAACAACGGAGGAGCCAAAGGATCAGCCAAATAACCATAGTGTTCCCACCACCAAGCAAAGCTGTGATGAAATCCTCGTGCACCCTTAATGGCAGACCACAGCTCTAGCCTGTAAACCACCGCTGCCGGTGTCCACTTGGCCGCACGGATAGCATGAAGATATGACTGTAAACGACGGAGTTGTTTGAACCAATGAGCAACTGAAGAACCCAGCAAAGAGTTTCTCATACAAACTTCACCCTCCCGACTGGGACGACAAACCACATTCGCCACATGGTGGAGTGAAGGAGAACAATGCTGGAAACGCCCCCGCTGCTGTGGGGTGAGAGAATGCTCCGGCTGTCCAGGGATATGTCTGTCAAAACTATCTTCAAAACTGCGAGCCCAGGAACGAAAGAGCTCATCCGCATCAGTCGACGGTGGCAAAGGTGGCGGCTCCGTAGAAGGCCAAGCTGTATCCACCTCTGCAACAGGAATAGTGGAAGGTCGTGTCCAACGCAGCACAGAAGTGGGGGCCCGCAGCATATCCAGCTGAACCTGGACTGTGGCATGCTCCATAAAATGATCCACCACCTGAACCGAAGTGCAAAGGGCCAAGGCTTCCGGTGAAAGCCAGAGCTGATCGGGCTCCGTAAGGCCCTTGTACGTCATGATGGGGGACTGATGCCAACGCTCAAAGGCCCACGTCTGGGCAGATTGCCAACCAAGCCTTCTCCATGTATCGAAGACCGCCAACCCCGTGGGTCCGGTGTTGAAATCACCCGCCACGATCCGAGGGCCTCGTGTGCCCAGAACAATTTCCTCGGTGATCACCTCAAGCAACCCGGAGGTATGGGCTTTCGCCTTTGGCCACGTGGGCGATGTTGGATAACCATAGATCACAGCTTTGGTCAAACAAACCCCCTGCACGAAGTGTTGCGTAACCAAAACACGGCCAGAAGTGTATTCATGAGCCTTCCATGGTAGAGTGACTGGACGAGAGACAAAATCGCTAATGGTCGCCACACCTGTCCATGTTCCTGCCCAGGCAGAACCAGCGCGCAAAGCAGCAGGGGCTCCAAAATGGGCACGAACTAGACGACCTTGTTGAAGAGCCAAATGTCTCAACCGTCGCTTGCACGATCGCTGAGTATAGCTAGAACATTGGGTCTCGCATAGTGAGAAAATGCCGAGAGCAACATCTCCTCCTTCTGCCTCAACCCACTGGGATTGGAAACGGAGACCAGCAACTGTGATGCTGGACCAGGATTGGCAGCTTCTCCAACCCGGGAAAAGCCAACATGAACTGGATTAGGCAACCACTTCAAAGGATTGCTAAACGGTCGAGAGCAAGAAAATGTCCAAGTAGATGAACCATCCGCCCCAGTCCACACACCAGGCAAACTATCAACTCGTGAAGGCAAACAAGCCCATTGAGCTTCCACCGACTGAAATTGAAATTCACTTGGGTGCTGCTGGTCCGCTCCAGAAGCGTTCCCCGACTCCGGATCACAGTCACTGAGTGCTGTGCTGAGAACGAGGGGCTGAGCAAAGGAAGCTTCCGAGGCACCCAGCGCAACTCCAAGCCAACTGAACAACCAAAACAAAAGAAAGAATCCCCTGAAGCGACCAGGCCTCCAGCGCATGACACGCTTGGATCCTGGCTGACCTAGTCACTCTGTCCGAAACTTCTTGCACAACAGAGCTTCGAACTTCTCGAATTGGCTGGACAGCTTGTTCTCCAATTCATTGATGAACTCGCCACGAAGGACAGCTGAAGATTGCTGAACCGAATGCTGCAAAGAATCAGCCGTATTGCGAACCTCCTGTTGCACCTGATGCAGATTGGACTGAAGCTGCTTAGTGCCCTGTTCCGTAGATTCCATCCTCTTGGTGGCCTCCGCACACCAAGCCTGAAATTGGACATTCTGGGCCTGAAGTTCGTTCAAAGAGCATTCAACCTGTTGGAACTTACGATCTGTCTGAAGGCGAAGTTCATCCACTGCCTGTGAATCATGGGCAGAAGGTGTCCATGTAGCAACCTGTGCCTTCAAGTCCTTCCCAACTGTGGCCGTGATGTCTTCTTTCAACTTGGCGGCAACCGCATCAATATGCTTTTGACCACTGGAGGAACCAGGGGCCAAGGTGGGCTTGAATGATGCCCATGGATCCGCAGCTTTGGCCAACCACGGGTCGGTCTTGTCAGGTCCCTGAGAACTGGATGCCGTAGAAGAAGAAGCGTGCGACAAAGTCTTTCGACTCGCATGGAACTGAACCTTGCGCTCCGCGATCTCATGTTGCTGCACCTGGTTGATCAACACATCCTGGTGAAAAGCCATCAAAACCGATTGTGAAGGCGGAGAGTCTGCACCAACCAACCAAGCTCCACCTAGCGCCGATCCCTTGGTGGGCTGAAGCGGCCTAGCTTTCCAGGACCATTCCTTCAAGACTTTCTCCATTCCTCGACGATCCAAACCAAACGGCAGAGGGTGAACACTGAATGTAAGGGTAGGACGACCAAGATGAAAAGGCGCATGTGGCCGAAGTTCTTTGTGAACCCCTTCAGCATCCGAGGCCCTGACTCGAAGACCGAACTTCTGATTCATCCGAACCACGCCCAAGACATTGCTCAAAGTCCGTTGTTTGTGAACAGCTTCAGCCTTGGTGACCCCTCCCAACCATAGCACAACAAAGTCAGGATGTGGACCAGTGGTCTTGTCTGAACGTGGCTCGAAATATATGCCCTCACTCGTCTGCGACAACAACTGAGGAACAATGGAATCAACCACGCGAAGAAATGCAGTGAAGCAAGCGGCCTGATCTGCTGGTTGAAGACGGGATTCCAGTGAAGTGAATCGACGAGCCCAGATTTCATGCATCAGATTCATCTGATCAACGTCCACCGGGAGATGGTATTTGGGACAAACCCCACCACAGCTCTGGCCCTCGCGCACTTGCAAAGTGGCAGTGTGCTGAACCACAAACTTAATGGGTGAGTTCACCACTGAGGACCAATCAGAAGTCACTTCATCACGATAGATCTGCAGGCGTACCACTGCAGAGCTCACCATGTCCGGAACAGAAGAGGGTCCTGCCGGACGATGACGCTCAATGGCCATGTCTCCAAGCAACAGAAGGGCGCCATTCACTAAGATCTGCTCCTTGGTCGGCTCGTAGGTCGCAGGGAACCTCATATTGGTGACCTTGGTAGAGCCACGAGACGAAGAATCCACCTCACTAGTGATCAACAAACCCAGAGCATCAACGCTGATGGACTTCAAGCTGTCCAGGAAGGGCTGAGCCTCCTGACGAGTCACGACTGCAATTCCCCTTGCCTCGGTTTGCACCTGCTCCAAAGCAATCTGAGGCACATTGTCATGCGATGAGTCTTTGAAGTGCCCAGGCAGAAGAGTCAAATGCTTTGGATCTAACTGGACCTCAGTTTTGGTCGGCTTCTTCTGCGATTTCTCCTTCTTGGATTTCAGTTCAGCTCCAAATCTTTGATTGGCCTGCTGGTCAATGTACGCAGCCAACTCATGGGGTTTGAGGAACTTGAACTGCACCGTCGGTTTCGAGGCCTCCGCCTTGAGCCGCTGCCAAGGGTTCTTAGAGCTCAAAGCACTAATCACTGAGGCACGTCCCAAAGCATCAAGAGCTTGCTTAGCTCTTGTCTCCACTTCACCAGCTGGCACCCCCTTTGAAGCAAGAAGGTCGATGAACTTGCTCAACACCGGATCATCGCGGCCAAAACCCAACAAAGAATCACAATGTACCTGATGAAGACTAAGCCAAGTATGCAGGCAAAGAATGTGATCAGTTGAAAAGACCCCTTGAAGACCGAGCAAATGAGCAACATGTGCAATTGCAACTGCTCCACAAGTATGCCCATGACGTTGGCGAATCAAAGAACCGTCATGAAGGCCAGCAAAGGTCAACTCAAAAATGAAGGAGAGCTTCTTTGCCAACACCAATGCCTCTGGATACAAGTGCCCCGGCAATCCATCATAGTATGTCCATAGGACAACATCGCCATCTTGGCGGCCACAAATCACAGCCCAGTGACCCTGGGCCGAAAAACAGCCAACCGCCAAACCCTGACTGCACTCCCAGAAATGCCGAAGAACACGGATGTGACCATCATTCAAAGAATCATGCAACAACTTGTGGAGAAGTCCTGGATGCAGATGAACCAATGCCTCCTGATCGATCAGCTCCGAGGATCGACACAATGACTTCAATGCATTCCACACGGTATGACCTGACAAACCCTCCGCCAGCAAATGATCAACCCCACAGGCTTGCTGATCCATCAAAGTCGAGCAAGGCAAAGTGGAAAAGGAAGGGAACGAGGAAGAAGAGATGGTTGTCAACCTCAAGGTAGACCAAATGCGGTAGTCTCTGCCATACACCCGTCCATCTTCATCCACAAGCCAAGCCACCGAATGCAGGTCATGCTCCGCAAGGGCCTCGAACATGAAGGATCCATAGGGCACACATGAAATGCAAAGCTGCTCTCCATGCTGAATACCTACAGCAACCAAACCGACTGGTGGAGGTTTGGCTTGACGCTTAGGGTGGTTCCAGAGCTGAACTGGCATGTCTTCGTCAATGATCATCTCAGAGGAGAGCGGGCCTTCCAAAGAGTGGCAACACATGGTTTCTCCCCAACCAAGGGAGATGGATTCTGCTTTCAGCAGCTGCCCCACAGTCACCATGCCCTCCTTGAGAATATAAAGCAAAGATCCATCAACTGCTTCCAGTTTCAGAACTCGAGGACGATCAGGGTAGGCAAACGGAAAGACCTGCCTAATTTGCTTGTTCAAAGCCACTTTGTACTGATGAACCAGTGTCAACGGATCAATCTTGGGGTGGCTATACTGCGAAGTAGCTGCATTCACTTGGTGGGCATAGATCCAAAGCGCTTGAAGCGGTGCCGCTGATTGTCCCAACAAGCACAAAGACTGCCTAGGTTGGGATTCCCATTGTTGATCAGGTGGTATCGAAAGCAAGGCAGACAACTCCACGGGGTGAAAGAACCGAGGTTGGAGATGCGTCTCAGAGATGACCAGGATGCCCCTCAAACCTTTGGACTGGAGTGTGGACATGGCAAAACCTCGATCTCGACAGCCGCAGAAACAACTTTGCAAAGCACATCCATATGAGTGCAAAATCGTGGGCATGGTATCCTCCAGAGAGGCCAATCTGCGATCCCCGCCAAAAGCTGGATTGCCGTACGCCGACAACTCCACCTGAGTAAGCTGAAGGTCTGCTTCATGATCTTCCGACCAAATGCCCCATGAGGGTAACACCGAGGACACTCGGGAAGTCGAAGAAGACACCGGCCAAGGAGCCAGAGATGGGAAAACCCAAGATCTCGGACACAAAGAGCACCACCACCTCCGTCGATGCATCGGCCATTGAGAGGCCAGATCGAAAATCAATTGGTGAGCCTGCCAATCCAAGGCCGCCTGAATCTGCAGCAAGCCATCTTGAATCCCCTGATCGGAGTACACACTAGGTGTGCATTCCAACACGGCTGATTGAGCTTGCAACATCATAATGCACCGCAACACCGCCCAGTACACGTTGGACCGAGGGTCATGGTGGGATCCTTGACTACCCTGCACCGAAAAAGGTTGGCAGGGAAAGCCCGCAAAGATTGAAAAAGGCTGACCATCGAGAGATTGGTGGAACCGTTTGAGGTCCGAGGCACTGCAAAGGTCTCCCGCAAAAACCTGGGCTGCCGAGTTGCGACGAAGATGCCTTAGTGCCAAGTCATTGCACTCAAAGTGCGACAGAACCTTAGCTCCCATAAATCTGGCACCCATCGAGGTAGCGCCGAGGCCTGAGCAAAGCTCCACCACCTGTGCAGCAAAGTGATCCTTCGGTGGAGAAGAAGCCAACCATGAAAGATCGTCCACTTCCAAAACTAATGGCTCCGTGCTCAAAACCAGAAGGTCGTAAGCCGTGAGGGGGAGGGTGCAACCCACAGGCAACCTCCGAATCTCACATGGCAATCCCCTCAGATCAAACACCGGAACCAAGCCCAACGTCGACTCTCCATGGAATCGACTCGAGTACCTTCCGCCGAGCACCGGGGCAGGCTGAAGGCGAGGGTCAAGAAGCACCGACATGGGACAACGGTCTCCCGACTATCGGTTGGTGACGGCGTCACCACTGGTAGGCGTCGGGCCAAACGCTCCCACTCATCAATAAACCACCCATCATACACCACTCATCATACACCACTCATCATTCATCAATACGCCACTCATCATACACCACTCATCATACACCATTCATCATACACCACTCATTAATACACCACTCATCAATACACCACTCATCATACACCACTCATCATACACCACTCATCATACA